GTAGAGCGGTAAGACCTAGGGCAGGGGTGATGGTTGTCAGGTAATGAAAAGATCCGTAGTAGGGACTATCTCAAAGACAAAGACAGGTGATCTAACTGAACATACTAAGACAGATGGTGGGCTCTGAACCAGGCTCATGGCCTTAGCTTTGACGGGTGGTCACTGGCTTACGAAAGCAAGAGAATTTATAGAAATACATCTGGGGGTAAGGGGTAGCCGGAGTGTATAATGGTGTTCTAACTATTACCATGTGTTGACGCCTTGTGTGTGCTTTTGAGTGTAATGGTATTCCAAGTGCTTGAGAGTTCCAGATCTTTTGGATGAAAAAGTTGAATAAAATGGGAGTTTTTTGCACAATGAATAACAAATGGACAAAATACGCCTGCCATGTACTCATTGTGACAGAGAGGTTAAGGGATCCCGAGCTGGGCGGGCCCGAGTTCCTGTTCTGCTGCATTTCTTTCTGTCTTTGCAAATCTCAGGAATGTTAACCCCAAAGCCTTGGTTCCCTTTTACCTACAACAGAAATAACAAGGTGGTTACTGGAAAGGACAGCCGGAGGGCATGGACTGTCCAGGTGAAGATCCCGATAAAAACCCTTCCATACACACTCTATCTAAATGTCCTTGGTGCTTTCCTCTGGTTTCTCCTGAAAAGATTCTGGGGCTCAGATCGCTTAGCTGCCTTCCTGCTCCCTCTTAGAGGGCACCTGAACTTCTAGGAGGGATTTCGGGGTGTCTGTGGTGCCAGGCTGGGGTGACAGTTGCAGGCAGTACAGAACAAAGTCATGGACCGAGTCTCCCAGAGAGTGACGGTGGCTGGAGATGCCACCCCATGACGGCCATCCAGGCAAGACTGAAGAGCTTTAGGTGCAAAGGGAAATGAAAAGAATCAGGAGGAAGGAGGGCGGAGGAGCTCCTGGGTTGAGAAATGAGGAGTTTGGGAACCAACATTTCTGGAGACCGGGAAGACTTGGCAGGGCACGCTGGTGTGGCAGAGGGCCCGCTGTGCCCTGGCGTCCATGTGCCATCAATTCAACCACAGTGCCTGTGCACGGCTGCACCGCCACACGTTCATGCAATGCGAGAGTGGTGCCATCAGTAGGGTCTGCCTCCCCTCCTCTGCACACAGACGTTCTCAGGGATGAAGTGTTTGTGTCATCTCTGATGTTCTCTCCTCCTACCCAGGCGGTGCAGCCTGGTACTCATCCCACCCTTGCCAGTTCCATAGCCTTTCCCGTCCCTAGCGAGTAACGCATTAATGGCGCACATCAGTGGGTCTCCCTGTCACACTCCCGCCACGCACAACCCGCCTGGATGGCATCCACCCTCTGCCCTGCCTCCTGCACTCATCCCGTCTTCACTTCCTTTCTGCACCGGGCCAGGGTCACCCCTGAGTACTGAGGCCCGGCAGGTCACAGCCCTCCAGTGACGGCTGTGGTCTGGATGGGATGGGGCCTTAGGGATACAGAGATTGAGGCTTCCGGAGCAGCTGTACACTGTGCCCCGCTAACCCTTTGTCCCAGTTCTGATCCAGTTGCGCTGGAAGAAGCAGCCTAGCCAGGGAGGAGTTGCTGGGACATCTGTCTCGGTGTGTGGCAAAGCTGATGAACCCCGGACAGGCCCCATAAACAGGCAGCTGTGACCACCCACAGGCCTGTCTGCACGGTGGCGGGTTGTAAAGTTTTAGTGGTGCCGAGGGTGGGGATGCTGTGTACTCTCTTTAGGCACATTGTCCTTCCTCACAAAAGGAGGAAGGGCCTTGGCTTCATCTGTCCAGCTCCCGTTCCCAGAGTTATCAGTCTAACAAAGTGCTGAGTTCCCTCTATCCCTGTGCTGGGGCCTGAAGTTGGAATTTCATACTCCAGAACCCTGCGTTCCCTGAGATTCCCATCACCCCAAGGTGATGATGGGCCTTCAGGGGTGTCTAATTCCTGACAGCAGAGCCTCCTGAATGGGACTGGTGCCCTTGTGAAGGAAGCCTCAGAGAAGCACCTGCCTTTCTCTCCTGCAGTCTAAGGAAAAACACAGGGTTTCTTCAGGGAAGAGCCCTCACCCAGTTCCGAGCTTGCCATGGCCCTCGACCTTGGACTCCCAGCCTCTAGATATGAAGGAAATAAGATGTGTTGTTACTGACATAACCAATTTATGTTTTGTTATAGCATCTTGAAGTGACCGAAATACTCTGCCATGGTCTTACTCCATGAACTTTGCTGTTGCTTTTAAGACTGTGGGTTTTTAAAATTTTTATTAATTTATTTTTTATTTAAGACCATGGGTTTAATCATAAGCCCAAGCTCAATCAGGAGAAGAAGTTTCTCTTTTGGGGGAAAAGGTGAAATTTTGGGAACTGCTTCTCTCTTTATGAGGCAACTCTGCTTATACAGATTCTCAAGCCTTTTGGAAACATAGTGGACGCTGCAGATTTAGTACCCACAAGCATCTGAAATAAGTCAAACAGTTTGCTAACTAAATCAATGTTTTGCAGCTAAAGGCGTGTGTGATGCCCAAAATTGGTTGGAATTTGCAGTAAGATTAAATGGAACATGGAAACCTCTGGTGATACACTCACACCAGCACAGAGATGCTCCGCATTTTGATGTAAATTCCTTCAGTTATCAAAATTTCAGGGACAGTCCATGAACTCCAAGTGCCAAGTCACATTCTGTTGCTTAAATACAATTAAAATGAAAGGACTTCAACCCTTTTGTTTTTTCAGTCCTTTCTTGATTGCTTGCTTTACTCCTCGGACATGGGCAGAATCAGGTTTTCTTTAGCACCTGTGGCCAACGGTCTTCACTATAATATACGTGGTGCTTTCGGTAAACTTAGTTATTCCACAGCATTTCTTTGAAGAAAAGTGTCCAAAGAACTAATAGGCAAAAAAGAAAAAATATTATCTTTGCACCAATCCTGCAGCCATGCAGTTTGAAGAATAGACTACCTGCCGTCCAGAGCAGTGATCTCAAGGGGAGCTGGGCCCTCACAGCCCTGAATTTAGTGTTGTCGAAGTCTTGGCAATGTTTTTAGAGAAGGAAATTAGCTGGGGATAATTTTCTTGGTTCATACTTGTTCTAATTCCAGTCCATAATTCCACCTATTTCAAATCCATGGCCATCGGAACTGAGTATAGTTTGCATCTGAGATGCCCCCATGGGAACACTGGTGATGCTAATGAGAAGCAGCAGTTTCCTCCAGAGGTTGGACCTGGAGGGGGAGTTGGGTACCAGGGTCTGCTCCTAAAGGAGCATGGGAAATCTTGCCCCTTTCTGTCTGTCTCTGCTTCCTGGATGCCATGGAGCATGCAGACACTTCCAGCTCACGCAACCACCATGACATCTGCCACACCACAGACTCCAAATCAGAGAGGAACGATCAACCATGGACCCAGACCTTAACACTGTGAGCCTAAAGAAACCTTTTCTTCTTTTAAGTTAATAAACTCAAATCTTTTGTTACAGTATAAGAAAGCTGATTAGTATAACCAGTCAACTCCAATGTCAGAGATTTCTCCTAGTGAGAGTTAATTTTGGCATTATCTCATGACCAGAATTAGAGAGGGAAACCTGTCCATGTGCTCTGTAAACTTTTCCAGGCTTAGAAATTACAATATAGGTGACTTTGAATTATGGGTCTCACTTCAGATGGTTTTTCCTCCTTCTGCATATATCCAAACCCTTTAATTTAATTTCTATTTTATCTTTGTACAGCAAGCATTATGAGTCTATGGATATAGTGTTCCAGTGTCTTGTGATCAGGAATTTTTCACTCTACACTTTTTCATTCCTGTTTGCTATGAATTGTTAAGCCCAGGAACCTGCCATTAAGGAAGTATTCTCTTGTTACTTACCTAAGAATCACTTTTTTTTTTTTTTTTTGGTATTGGGAGTCGAACTCATGACCTTGTGCTTGCCAGGCAGGCACTGCACTGGTGAGTTATATCCCTGGCCCCCAAAGAATCATTCTTAAGAGACCTCAGAACTGAGGCTCCTTCTTAATGCTCTCAAACCTGTGTACCATAGGGGCTTATAGTTTGACATTATAGCTAGTTTTTAAATCATCCAGATTTTGAATAATAGTATTTTCTCCTTCATCTTTTTGTGTAGCTATAAAGTCTCTGGTTTCATTTCTCATTCTTGTGTTCCATGTTGAGAATCATCAGTCACATGTTTACATTTCCTTCACACGTTGTTTTCTTTCCTTTACGAGCACTGTTTGCTCAATACAAGCTTTTTGTCTTGAGATTATTTGTATTTTCTCCTTTCCTTCCAGGTTTTGTGAACGTAATATATTCTGGGAGTAATATATTCAGGCACTGCTGAAACATTGGCTCTTGAAATGCATTTGCCCAATATAAGCTTTTTAACAATCCTGCCCCAGAAATACTTTCCCATCAGGCCAGCATCTAACCAGACCCCTGCTTTGCATGGTCCTGCGTTCCCATCCCTAGCATCTCTGCTCGTCCATGTCAATCCTGATTCACTCATGCAGCCCACGTGTGCTTTCAGGGCTCACTCATTCTGCAACTAACCTAATAAGTATTTTACTTATTGGAGTATTTTACTGCCATGGGCCAGGTTTTCTCTTCCATCCTCTTTTGATTTTCATTTCCTTTAAGCACTTCACATGGTTGGCCTAAATTTAAGGAGCTGTTCTTCAACTACTTTTTAGAAGGAATTCTATATTTTTAGCTCAAGAAGTCAGCTCTTAATAGTTGCCTGGATTCTGGTCTTCTTGGGGAATCATTCTTTTTTATTTTTTAAGGTTGTACCTCTCTTTTCCTCTCTCAGTTATAAGTGGTCCCTGTTATGGCTTTGTCTTGGTAGCTCCCCAAGCCTCATGCAGTCAAGAATCTAGGATTTGTGATTGTTTCATTGTCTAGCGCTGAGACTGGTGCTGTGAGTGCTGCACCCACCCAGGGTTGGAGCTGGCGTACAGTGTAAGGGAGAGAAGAAGGTGTGTTTTTGACTCATTTGCCCTTTTTGCTCTATTTGTTTGCAGCCTCCATGAACGACTGCCCCTTGGCCACACCAGCCTGCCTTGGAGCCAGCTGAATAACTGTAAGATAAATAAACCTTTCCTTCCCTAATTTTGGCCATCAGGTGTTTTGTTTCAACATGAGAAAAGTAACTGAGACAGACTCCATGGCCATTAGAAGTTTCTTCTTTTTCAGACACCTTCTTTGATGTCCAACAGTTCTGGATGCATCTTTTTCTTTTTTATGTCTATTTCAGCCTTTATAATTTATTTTTTTTCCATTTTTATGCGTCCATCTTGCTTCCCATATTTCAATTGGCTTTTGTGAAAATGTTTTTCTTCCTGTCTCTTTTAGTTGTTTCTATTTTTTTTAACCTGGAAAATAAGTCTTGGAAACAACCTAAGTGTCTATCAACTGAGGAATGGATAAAAAAGCTGTGTATTTTTATACAATGGAGTACTACTCAGATATAAAGAATGATCACATTGAGATATTTATAAATAAGTGGACGCAACTTGAGACCATACTCATAAGCAAAATAAATCAAACTCACATGTACAAATACCGTATAGTCTCCCTACTGTAAGAAATAGTAAGGGTACACAAGAATTTATAGTAATCATGTTTCCCATTACATTGCTCTGAAGCCTTATAATGTCTGCATTCATTAATTGGAATGGTTTTATCTTAGTTTGTTTGATTTTATTATCGGTGATAGTATGAACAGCTATTTTGAAGAAAACAAGACATTAGAATAGCCAGTGCTGATTTAGTAAGTCCTACTATGCTTTTGTTTTTCTGTTTCCTTTGGTTCTATCCTGTTATATCTTATTGATATTATTATGTGTGATAGTATAAACAAATTTTCTATGGAAAATGAGATAATATAGTAGCCATTGTTCGTTCTCTGCTATTTGGTTCTGAGAGCCTTGTAATGCTTTCACACTCTTGGATGGTTTTATACTGTTTTGTTCTGTTTGATACTCTAGTATATGAAGCTATGCTCAACTATTTCAAAGAAAGAGACTTTATGGTAGTTACTGTTAATTATGGTTGTCTTGTGGTAAAATGCTATGTTATTTGCATTGTTCTGATCTGCTTTGTTATGTCCTCTTTTGTCTTAATCTCTTTAAAATAAAAAAATTTTTAAAAAAGAAACAGTTTGAAAAATTAAATTTCAGTCAGATTTTAGAGGGCCCTAAATATAAACTCTGTTTATCCTACAGGTTGCTGTAAGGTGGCTGCATGTTAGATTTACCTGGAAAGCTTTGATGCTGAGGGCTCACTGCCAGAGCTAAAATTTCTGATGTGGATGGAAACTGGACATTGGTGGTTTTGTCTTTCTGTGTGATTCTAAGTCTCAAGAATCTGGAGGACCTGAAATTTACTCTGTTTTCTACCTAAGATATTGGTTTTCCAGTTTCAAGAACCTGGTTTAAAACTTGAAACTCTGCAGTCAGAAACTAACAGCTACAGGAATGTCTGGGTATCGGGTAGTATTTGTGGATGGAATGACCTGGTTCCCGGAGCTCTCATTCCTTTAGTGTGATAAAAAAGGCCACATGACACCTGCACACACAGTAGGTCTTCCTGCAGGAGAGGAATCTGGAGTTCAGGAGACCTGAACGTTCATGAAGGAAGGAAATGTGGCCACCTTTGTTTCAGAAGCCTCTGTGCCTTCCAAGCCCTAAGCATGCTGGCCATTTACCCTGAAAAGATAGAAAATCTTTACTGTTTTTATAAATATCCTTGTAGAGATAATCTTAAGGGAAGGACAGTCAGTGCTTTGTTTCAAAAGACAAAGAAAATGTGTAAGAACTGTGGAAAGTCGATTTTCTTGCAGAGTAGAAGAGAATTATAAAGTTGTTTCAAGCAGGTAAACGAAATGGTGAAGAAAGAAAGCAGAGTAATGGCTTAGAAGCTTTAATATTTATTTAAACAAAATTTGAAATGGAGTTTGAATGGTGGTGGTACAAGGGATAGTTTGAAGAAAAATAGACAGGAATGGCTTGCTGATTATATGAATGGTGATAGATAGTGTTGATTGAATTTAATGTTCTATGTGGAAAGACTTCTTAGTAGATACAGAGTTATTCAGGTTATTATTTCTTCCTGAATGACCTTTGTAGCCTGTACTTCTTAATGAATTCATCCACGTTGTCTTAGAGGCATAAAGTTGCTCATAATACTAACCTTTTACTCATTTACTATCTGTAGAATTTGTAGGGATGTTACTTCTCTATTTTTGATATTGATATTTGTGTATTATTTACGCTTTTTCTCTTGATCATTCTGTCTTGAGATTTATTAAATTTTAATGATCATCTTTTTTAAAAAAGCATTTGATTCTGTTGTTTCTTCTTCCTACTTTCTATTTCATTCATTTTCCATTCTTATTATTTCCTTTCGTTAATTACTTCCACTTAATTTGTCTTCTTTTTCTAAGAAGGAAAGATCAATAAGGTGGAAAGATCAATACTTCTAGATCTTTCTTTCCTAATGTGAGTGATTAATTTATAATTTGGTCTTTAAATACTTTAGAGATATCTCATAAAGTTTGGTCTTTAAATACTTTAAAGATATCTCACAAAGTTTGATGTGCTGCATTTTCATTTAGTTAAAAATACTTTTAAGCTTCCTTTTTGTTTTCTTTTTTGGCCATTGGATTATTTAGAAATACATTATTTAATTTCCAAGTATTTGGGAGATTTCTTGAATACTTTTCTGTAATTTATTTCTATCTTTATGCTGATCATACTTCATATAATTTGAAATTTTAAAAATTTGTTGAGGCTTCTATAGCTCAGATATTATAATAAATGTTCCATGTTTGGGTGAAAAACAGAATTCTCCATTAATGGTACACACACATTATTGGGGCCCACAGATTCACAATGTCTAGTTTAACATACCTCCCTAAGGGAGGCTTGGGAGACTTGGTAACACCCTTTTGAGATTTCCCATTTCCCATTAGGGTGGGCAGGTTTCTCTTACCCACTAAGACTAAGACTAAGACTAAGACTAAGACTAAGACCAAGACTAAGACTTCTAAGACTAAAAACGCTGCAGGGAAAGATCCATTTTGGTTCAAAATCACCACCACCCTCTGAGCCATCCTGAAGAACCCTTCTCAGTCAATAAAAGCTCAGGCTCTGGCTGCCCTGTGGCCTTTTGTGGCCCATGAACAACTGGTCAACCCAGATCCCTGGTGCACTGCCATTTTGTCTTGCAGGAGATTGGAGGCTTATTGCAGGGCTCCCTGATAATGTGTATAAGCTTCAACTGATGGAAAGTGTTGTTCAGTCTTCTGTGCACCTACTGATCTTTTGAGTAAGTAGTCTCTCATAAGAGCAGGGCTGAAATCTGTCACAGTAATTATAGATTTGTCTATTTTCATGTATTTTGATGTACCTGTGTATTAGTATACTAGAATCAACTTAGGATTCTTATGATCTCTGAACGAGTATATGCTTCGATCACTGTGAAATACGTATTCCCATTTCGGTTAATATGTTAATGTTATGGTTTATGTCTGTGGCCCCCAGGCCTCATGAGTTTGCATTGTGCATTTGTGATTGGTTCATTGTCTAGTGCTTGGATTGATGGTGTCAGTGCTACACCTACATAGGGGTGGAGCCAGGATGTGATGTAATGGCAGGAAGAAGCTGTGTCTTGCTCTTTGCTGGTTCTTGTTTGCTGTTTGCAGCCGCCATGAACTGTGGCTCGCCCATGCGTGCCTGCCGTGGAGCCAACTGAGTATGGACTGAAACCTCCAAAAACTGTAAGAAATAAATCTTTCCTTTCCCAACTTTGGGCTTCAGGTATTTTGTCTCAGCGACGAGTAAAAAGTAACTAAGACAGTTAATATATTTTGTTTTGAATTCTACTGTGAGTCAGCTTTTGTCAAAAAAAAAAAGATATATCTGAGGTAGCTGACATATAAAGAGATTTTATGTAGCTCACAGCTTTGTAGGTTCAAGTGCAAGATTAAGTAAGCATCCCTAGTTTGACCTCCAGTGAAGGCTGCTCATGGTGATGGGTGAGCCCTGGAGCAAATGATCACATCTGGTACAGGACAATGATAAGGACGGTAGATGGGGCCGGGCTTGCTCCTTCTTATAACAGCCATCTCTTGAGAACTCATGGGGTCACACAAGAATTTGAGGAATCACATGCAAATTATTTCAACCCCTCAATCACCTAAGGATCACCTTCTAGGCCTCAGCCCTCAATAGGGCTACCCTAGGGACCAAATCTTTAATTACACTAGATCTTTGGGAATACACATCAAGTTCAAACAACAGCATCTATTTTGTCTAATATCAGCATCATGTACTCTTTTACATCTTTTTTTTAAACCTGTTTGCTTCTTGTCTGTGAGCCAGATTTCTTTTTTTGCAATTGATAGTTGGGACTTGCTTCTTCATCTAATTTACAACTCTGCCTTAAATGTTTAAAGCTTTTACATGCAATGTAATTATTGATATGATTGAGTTTAAATATTTTTGTTTGATATTTGGTTTTTATTTCTCTTGCCTGTCCTTTGTTATTTTTTTCAGTTGATTTCTTTGGATTAATTGAGAATTCTTATGATTTCTTTTTTTCCATGATAACTCTTTTATGTCTTTGGACCAGTTGTATCATTTATGTCATTTCAGGGTTGGTATGGGTTCCACTTTCCATTATTATTGATCACATTTTTCATCTCCTTTACATGCTTCATGATTATTTTGGCTGATTATGAGAAATTCTGAGTTTAGTCTTGCAGTGTTTTGATATTTTTATACTGTTTATTTATTCTTTTTGAGACATGGCTTCCCTTTGTAGTTCAGGCTGGTCTTGAACTCACTTTGTGGCCCCAGGATGGCTTCTAACTCACAGTGATCCTCTTGTCTCAGCCTTCCAAGTGCTGAGATTACATTCATGCACCACCCTACCCAGCCATTTTTGTATTTTTATTTTTGAGCCTTTCTTCTAAACAATAATTAAGGTATTTAAAAAGACATTGGTATATTCATATCTTCCTTGTAAAATTTGTTAGTGAGGACCACCAGACCAGCCTTTTATCTAGGTCTTATTTTG